ACACACACACACACACACACACACACACACACACAGCAACTCCACCAGAGTGCCAATTTCGGGTCACTTTCGCAGGTGTTCTGGGAATCCATCCTACCTCAAAAAACATCCTACCCAATGTTTCTGCGCAGACGCGGCGCATGTGCACAACACCAAAGCCGAATTAACTTCTTTTTCTCTCACCCATCTGGAATACTTAAGGTTATGGTTATGGCGCGCTTTTAAGCGCTTTGGGTGCCTTGAAAAAAGCTATATAAATCCAATCCATTATGGTTAGGGTTATGGTTAGGTTTAGTCACAAGTCACCGTCAAATTATAATACGGGTAGGACGATTTGTCAGAGTAGGATGGTTTCTCAGAACACCGGTCCAAGCCCGGATAAAGGAGCAGGGTTGGAATTGTGACATTAAAAAACAATAATTGCTAAAAGAAATTTAATTTATAGTCCTAAAGAAATTCTAACTGCATTTAGGATGTTTTTTACTCACTTTTTGCCTCTTCCACGATGTTATTTCTCTGTAGGTTACAGAGAGGTTACAATTACATTGGCAGAGGCTTCCATGTGGTGTTAGGCAGTTTATTGGACGTTAGTTAGATGGGACCAGTCCCTTCAAAGGGTCCTTGATAATCAAGACTGTCCAGCCTTCAGTTAGCTGTTCCAGTTGCATCCATTAGCAGCTGGTTCATTTGTTCTGCCAGGTGCTCACTGAATACAGTTAGGCTCTTAGGCAGTAGGTGTGAATGATGTGCGGGCCTGGTGCTGGCGAACTCATGCTTGAGACTCTTTCTTGGATGTGATGGTCACATCACATGACATGCAGTTTAGAGTGGTTGCTATGGGGTGCTCTTAGATCCACTAAACACTGAGTATTGTTGCTGTGTTGCATCCATCTCCCATATGCTATTCCAGTGTTGCTTCATCTCCAGCCTTGGTGGGACTGCTCTCATATTGTTTTCCTGCCTTATATTAATGCATCTTTGATGGTTTAGTAGAGAACATCTGGTTTATTCTCATGGTTTCTACTTCTGGTATACCTCTTAAGGCGGTTAGCCAAGACTGTGTATCTTTGTTTGGTTGTTTCAAAGGCCTCAGAATTAGCAGCTTGTTGTACTTCTTCTACACTCCATTCTTCCTCATACCTTTCTGCAGTTTAAATATTTTGCTAACTTCCTGCAGTTTTCCCTTGATCTCAGCCTCTTTCTGCATGGCAGGTATTGCTACTTGTGGCTGGTCAACTTATAGCCAAGCATCTCAAGGATCACTGTTGCTGTGGTATAGATCAGCTGGTTGGTTTTAGTAATGATCACAGCAGGGATTTTATGTAATGTTGGATTCAAATGTTGCATCGCTTTGACCTTCAGATACTAACCCCAAGTTGCTCTCCGATACATCCATCAGCGTATGCATGTGTGTGAATGCTTAGATAGAATGCACTTAAAGTGTAGAAGAAAGTGCTTGTGTGCATGGCTGTGAATGGATGAATGTGATCTAAAGTGCTGTGAGTGCTCCAGGAGAGTAGAAGTGCGCTATATAAGAATCAGTCCATTCACCATTTTAAGTCTGGATGAGCTGAATAGTGTTCATAAAAATTGATGCATATTTCTAATCAAATGTGATACCCATGTAACCCTCTACATAATTTTAATGTTTCTTTTTCTACTGTTCCATTTTAATCACCCTTTGGTTTTTACCTCTTTAGCCAGTTTGGCAGAAATACTTTGTTAGATTGAACGAGAAACCACATTCCTCAGTACAGCACCAAGAAAGCTCTTAGGGGTTTATACCCCATCCCTAAGACATCTGGGAAGCTCTTGGGGGCGGGGGGGGGGGGGTAAACAAACATATGTGTTAGTTTCCTCATTATTTCATCATTAAGGAGATAAAAGAAGTGAAGTTTATTCCTTTAGAAAAATATCAAATCAAATCAAATAAATTCAGCAACACTAAAAGCCCTGAAAGACCCCTCAAGGCAACGAAAGTAGATATTTAAGATAAGATAAGATAAGATAAGATAA